CCTTAAATTCTTTGATCTGTTATGTTTAGGCAAATATGTAGCAAAGAGTTGGAGTGCAATTTTGATGTATTTTGCAGATTTCAAAATAGACACTAGGAAATGGAAACTAAGAAAGGATTTTCTCAAATGTATTTCCTTTGCTATTTTAAGGGTGTCAAATAAGGTTGAGATATGATAAGAAAGAGACCAGAATCACCTAAATGCAGATGTTATATACTTTAAGACCTCTGTTATGTCCTCCGCTCTCCAGGCACAGAGGGTGCTCACCCACACACATTTTTCTGCTCTATTAAAAGTTTCTGGTTTCCAAAATATCATTTACTTTAGCCCCTGCAGTAGAAGTTTTTTTTTCCCATTCCTTAGTGGCTGTGCCTCCCAAATTTTCTATCCCTTTTGTCCATATGTGTTTAAAACTAAATCTGTTCTAATATTATAAGGGAAACTCCACTCTTCTTCTGTACCAGATTCCCTTTAACTCTTCGTGCCACAGAAGCCTCACTGTACAGCAAACTCCTCTTCCTAACTCAGATCCCCGTATAGGATCTCCAACACCAGCATCTCTAGGAACTGGAATGGTTTAGTAAGTCCCACTGGAGAAGACAATGAAAGAAAGAAGGAAAAAGCAGAGGTCCCAGCTGGATTCATTGTGATTTTTAACCAGATAGGTTTGCCTTAGGCTGAGTGGGATGAAAAGGCCAGTTTGTTGTCCCTTTTGTTTCTGGTGTGGATCACAGGCTATCAGCTGAAGAGTCTTACCCTAGAGAGTAGCCTGTATTTGACCTGAAGAGCAAATCACATTCTTTAGCTCCAGGCTGAATTCAATGATTACTTATCTCCCTGTAAAACTGTGACTCTGAGCAGCTGAGGGGTTAGGAAAAGTTAGGTATTAATCAAATCACTGATTACAGCCCTTTGATTTAATGATGAAGTAGCTGAATCTTATTTCATCTTAGCTTATTTCAAGTTAAAACATGAAAATAATGATTTTTATTTGAAGCTGAAGCAGTGATTTTAGTATTTGTCCTGAGTCCCGTTGTAGGAATGGAATTATATGGCCATCACCTAGACCATGGTAGGAATTATGTGGATCTTACCTCAACAGGGCTTATCCCTAGCTTTCACTTCAGTAAAAGAATCAAGCAGAGTTCCTATTATTCCTATGTCTAATAGGCAATTGTAGTGACAGCTCAAGCTGGGTGCCTCTTAATTGGGGCCCTGCCTGTTGCTTGTTACTGGATTCTATAGTCCCTGTAGGTGGGTTCATTTTCTGATTGCACTCCTGCCCATCCAGTCCTCTTTACAGCATCTGGGGTCTTCTGATCTACTCACACAGCCTCCAGGCACCCCTTTGTCTGTGTCTTGAGGAAGTTCCCTACTTTTGTTACAAAATATCCTATAGCTCAAGTTGAAATGATAGTTCATTGTCTAGTGGTTACATTTCCATAGATAAAAACAAGGGTCAAATGCATGTGGCCGAAGGTTTAGTTTACTGCAGTCACTAGAGCTAAGCTCTAGCACAAGTCTCTCACTGCAGTCCTTGTGGATCTGAGAGATTACAGGGCTGCACTGCACAGTCCTTCTGTGCCTTACTCAGGCATTTCAGGTCTTCTCTCTGTAGTTATGTTGCTTTCCCTCAGCACGTTCTCTCCTGAAAATATGAGGAATGGCTGGTAATGAATCAGCAGTTGTCTCCCTGTCAGCCAGGAATTGCCTTGTGCCCATGAAAAACCCCCTGAACTAACCTTCAGGCCATGGGTTTTTAATGTTAGAGAGTTCAAAATAATCAAAACTCCGGAATGCTGCCTGCAGTGCAATGACCCCAGTTATGTCTGGTGAGTAGCACCAGGCTTTGTTCTTCCCTTCAGTCTTATTTTTTGTGTTTGTATGGCTGGAATTTGAGTGACTCATTGGATATTTCTGTTGGAGGCACAACTGCTGTTTATAAGAAAAATTCTACAAGGATGTTCAAGCAGAGATGAACTCATTTTACCTGATTGGTTGCATACACTTTGATACACTGGAAATTTTTCAGTATATCAAAAGTAGCTTTAACTTTTCTAGTGCCAGTCTTTATAGTCCTGAAAATGTGTTGTACTGGGCTCCAGCTCAGGATTTAATAACACAAGGGCTTGGTCAGCCTTGAGTGATTCAGGTGTGTGAAAGCATATGCTCCTATATTTTAACCACTGTTGATAACTAATGGTTAGATTCAGGTTACTTTTGGTTTGTTGACACATGCTCCATGAACAGCTCCTGACTGCAGTGGAGTTCTTAGGATAGGACTGATGTTCTATCTTGGTTACCAAACTCATGTTAAAAGCTGAAGCTTCTTATGCACCCAGACAGTTACTGAACTCTCCAGAAGTATTTTCTGCTCTTGCTAAACCCTCCCACATAGGAGTCAGCTAAGCAGAGATAAGCCAGCAGAAGTGGAGGTGATGCTAGCCCTGCATTCCCACCACTTAGTGTGCCATGATTTCATGCTGGACCACATGAATGGAAAGTGCCATGATGCTCTTTCAGCCTTTCCTACTGCCACACAGGTCACAGCTGCCTCTTGCTGAAGTTGCAGTGAGCTCAGCCCGGGGCACACAGTAACCCTGTGCTGTCTTCCTGCATGTCACTTCCATGTACAGTAGAACCAGAGCTATCTTCTGCATGATGAACTATCCACTGCCCTCGGGTTTTCCTCTTTTTGCACATAGCTGAATTCACTCACTTGTTAAAGACAGTTTCACAAATGCAGAGGAAGTCAGATTTTCCCTTAATAAGATTTTATGGAAATTGAATAATTTTTTTTCAATTTTTTTCTGTCTTGTTTTTCTCTTGAGAGAAAATAAGCTACAGATTTTGCTTGTTTTGTTGCAGAGGACTCACACCAAGACCTTCTATCTTATGCTCCCCTTTCGAGTGGCCTAGTTTGTACATATCGTAGGCAATTGGATTTGTAGAAATCTAACTTTCACTTTGGCAACTGATCATAGATAAGAATGAATATTTTCTCAAGTAATTGTTAAATTTCTAATTTATGCTCAAGAATTGTTATTTCTTCACTTGCAATTTCCTGAAATTTGGCAGAATGTCTGCAGACAAAGAAAACATGCCCTGATTTCATAATAAAACATAAGAAAAATTGAAAAGATTTTCCTTTCTGTGAAAAATGTCTCCTTTCTTACATTACTGAAAAATGACAAGAAGATTTTGATTTCAGCAGAAAATTATCTCTTTCTTTGAGAGGAGACCTGGAGTATTTTACTTCAAAAAAAATGTGTTATTTCTGTCATTGAAAAAAGAAAATATTTTCCAGTGTAAAGTTTTTCTTTCCAAGAGAAAAAATAAGTAGAGTTTTTAAAACTAGATCCTAAAAAAAGTCACTTCATCTTAATGATAAATTGATAAACACTGCTATGGTTTTTATATTGGTTGAGGAAAATTATGATAGGAAAAATGAACTGCATTTTATTTTAGAAATTTTCATTTGCTGCTCTCTTTTAATTATTTTTTTCTCTCTTTAAAACACCATTTATTTTTTCTTATTCATTTTTCTTAATTTTAATTTTTTTCAATTTTAATTTCTCTTCGAATTTTTGATGAAGTCTTTTCTTTCATGTTGTTGTAAGGTGTAAAGATAGAGAGTTAGAATACAAAAACTGGAAGCCAGAGTGTCTATAGAGAACAGAACAGCTTAGTGGTTTTGAACTCCCACTTCCTTTTACCTCCTCTCCTTCCAGATTTCCTAGTAAGTGCTGCAACATCTACCTGGCAGCTCTCATAGTATGTGCTACTACCCTTATTGTAATCTAAAAGAAAAATACAAAGCTGAGATGCCCAGGTTCTGTGCAGAGCCCCACTTTGCTGTTAGATTATGACTTACAACTGAGGTTTAGAGTTTAAATCAGGTTTCTGTAGTGCACTGGAATCTAATAATCTCATCTCAGATCCATAAATATAGTTCATATTGCTCAATACATGCAATATACAGAAATTTTTATTTATGATTAGTAGGATTCTGAAATTTTAATCCTAGACAACTTTTACATTAAAATTATGGTCAGTTTAAGACAAATGTCAGTAAAAACTAATGCTTTTTAGCATTCGGTGGATAATGATTTATTCTTGACTTATACGAGGTTTAAGTGGAAAAGAATCAAACTTATGTGTGTATGACAGCTAATAATATTTGGTTTGAAAATCATTTCTGAGCTGTTGTCTTCGTTTCATTTTTCTATTTCTTAGTCTTCCACCTCAGCTTTGGCACTGGCTTCCTTATTATTTTACACAGTAAATTACAGTATTACAGTACCAGTTTGTTGAAACCAGCTACTCCCTGGGTCACGTAGTGAGACCCATCCCTGACTGAAACTAACCGCGTGCTTTATCCAAGAAGAATGAATCCTGAAATTGTTCTTGAAGCTGTGTTTCATTAGAATGTAATACAGTGATGCCACTGGGTGGCTCTTTAAGATTCCTTTAGTCTTTCTTTGAATTTTTTGAGCATACTAAAATATACTCAAATAGTAAATGGAAGGTCTGCTAGTCTGTGGGTGTTACTTGATTATTAATTTGATATGTCACACTATAATAAATGCAGAACCAGAATCTCTACACAAAATAAGCAGGTTATCTTTGCATTCCTCCTTGTTAAATAAAAGACTCAATTTCCCTTGAATATTCTTGAAATAGCAAAATTATATTCTATGGAAACATTGTGTTTCATTTATATTGATTTTTTTCTCACAAAGTTGGCTGCATTTGAATTGTGTAGATAATATAACACTTATTAAGATTCTGCTGAAATACTTATCTGCTATCTTCCTCCTGTTACAACTTTTTGATTTTCTGCAAAATCATAATTCAGGAACAAAATTACATGCACAGAATTTAAGTAAATCAAATTTCATCTCTTTCTGTTAAAACTTCCATGAGCATAATTTTAACCTTGGAAATGATGACTGTTTGTGTACTTATTTCTTTTTTTTCTTCTGTTTTTAACTTAACAGGTGCAGTGGATGTAGAAGAAAGGAGTCGCCAAATGAAAATGAACAAGTACAAACAGGTAGCAGGATCAGATTCCAGGCTGGAACAAGATTATCATACTAAGGCAAGGGAGTTTTGTTTTGAAAAGCAACAAAATATGCTAAAGTGAAATATTCAACATCCTATTAGAAAGCAATAGATGAGTGCCAGGTTGTTTCTTCAGTAAAAGTTTCTTGTGTGTCTGTAATAAAATTATGGAAATGTGCAGTGAAACTTAACACACAGTGGTCTTGATTATTAAAATTTAAGAAGGATAAGTTAAAGCAAATGAAAGAAACAGTGTAATTGTCTATCAGAATGAACAGTAGTGCCATGATTTAAAAACTCAAAGAGAAAGAAAAAATATGTTTATTGAGTGACTGATGGCATGAGAGATATTGAAACGTATTCATGGCTTTCATATAGTTGAACAGAGTTATCTTGATCTGTTGAAAACTGGAAGATGCAGTGTTATAGTTTAATAGTGGCTTTTTAGCACTTGGAAAAGTGTTTTATAAACCAACAAAAGCTTTCATCCCAATTGTGGCAGGTTGCCAAGAATCTGAATATCTACATAGCAGTATAACCTTAAATATATTATCCAAAATTTCCTGCTATCTGGAGCAGGGTCATGTCATATAGAGTGTGTTAATTAAAATAATCAAGATATTTTCAATTTAAATTTCTATTATACAAAAATAATTTAGTGTCCTCTAAAAGACTTCATTAATTTAGGTCACATTTTAAGTGGAAAACACAAGATTTCTGACCTATAAAATCTGGCTGAGGAAAAGATGTCTGGTTTGTAATTTTATTTCCAGGTTTTTTTTCCTTGCTTCCAGGATTGGCAAAGCTACTGCAAAATGAGACATTTAATATTTGAATGCAAATAAAACATCAAACATTTATTATTATTATTATTATTATTATTATTATTATTATTATTATTATTATTATTATTATTATTATTATTATTATTATTAGTTTTGCAGATAATGTAGTCTAATACACTTGATATAATTACTTTCTAGAATATACATTTCATTATGGGAAAATAGAAGTGCTTTAGCAAAGTCCATTTCCAAATGGAAAGTCCTGTTAATGAAAACAGAATTGACAAAACCAAGACCATGAAAATGGCTTAAGATAATTTAAAACTCTGTAGATGTGCTGCATGGTTATTTGGGTATTTTGCAAATGTAGTTTTAACTGCACAAAGCATAGGAATGTTTATGAACATGTAAGAGGGACTTGGATACTGTTTAGCTGTTTCTTTTATTTTTGCACTTATGGCAAAGTGTTTGTTGTTGGCTTTGAAAGGTGTTACCTTTGAGAGATGAGCATAATATTGTCAGTGGACCTTATGGGAAGTGTTGTGATTGTATGTACCTCAAAAATATGACTTTTATGTATTGTATGTATAACCAGAGTTAATCTGCTTATTTTCCTGCTCCCCCAATGCTTAACTGAAATTTGAGTCAGAGGTAGGACTGGTGCAGATTAAATTGGTTCTCATGTAAAGGAGTTAGAACATGACTACCTGAGGAAGTATTTTCCACCCCTGTTTTTCCATTTCACCTACACCATTGGTGTACTGGGCCTCACTCTACATCTTCTATCTTTTTAATTAAAGTTTTACCTTCAGTATTATTGGAATGTATTAAAGAGGAAAATTATAAATGGAATTATTTTATGAATATGGCAGTTTTATTTATTGCACACATCAAACAATGTCTCCAGAAATAAACAGTTAATTTTCTCTTCTGCTTAAGTGTAGTTTCAGTGCTTGAAAATGAGTTAAAAATATTTATTCTATCAATCAACCTGTGGAACTAGACACCGAATATTCACATATATATATATATATAGTTATTCAACATGCATTCTTAAAATTGTGTAGTTTCAAAGCCACGTGAGAACCATAACTCTCATAAGCCATATGAGAGTTTTGTCTTCACCTTTTTAATACCACTGCTTCAATTTCCCTTAATTAAATTTCTATATTATCTTGAGACAGAAAACGAGTAAATGAAACTTATCTACCTGGTTTCTACAAAAATTCTTTTGGAATCATGAACTGAAGCACATATGTTGAATGCAGACTGAAATGTTCTGTACAGTGTACAGTGACTTTGATTTTTTTAGACTTCTTAACTGGCACAAGCAGGCACTCATGAGTGCCATGCTTGAGAAAGATGTTATTAAGTAGGCATTAAGCCACATTCAGGAAAGCCAGCACAGAATTTTCTTTTACCTTTTCTGTTCTATTTCTTTCCTTAAATAGACATCAACAGGTCAACAGCATCTTTACGTCCCTCTTGATTAAGTTAAGAAAAAATATCCAATATCCTTCCTTGTTGAGAAGGCAAAAGCTATAAAAGTAGAAGTTCTAATAAATATTGAAATATATTGAAATATTAAAATAGGTATCCTGTATTACATCTCTCTAGATTTGTTCAACCTCTGGAAGTCAGTACTAGAGATTTCAGAGGAAAGTACATACCCTTCTGTGGTGCATAGTCATACATTAAGAAGTTTGTGGGAAAAGTTTAATTCTAGACCTCAGAGTTCTTAGAGGCTGCTGAAATTTGAAATTGATTCTCCCTTATATTTTCTTCCTCATGACTGATGAAGATTGTATTTCTATTATTCTTATTCGTGCCTCATTGTTCTTGGAACAATAATTCTGCTTCCATAATATTTTGTATGCATTAGTTTAGCAGGGTGCAAAAGACTTATTTCCTTAAATAAGCAAATAACAAAATAAGCTTCCTTCAGAAGCTGCTGAGGTGTGGTTTCAGGACAGACATATGGAAAGCAAGTAATATATTAACTTTCATATAAATATTTACAGCTAAGCAGATAAGAGAAGGCACTAAGGATTAAGTAAATTAATTTCTGGTTTTGGAACTATTTATTTCTGCTTATTGGGTACTAGTAAACTTGTACAAAATAGGATATATACTAAAGTCTGAATTGCAGTGCTGGTAGATGTGGACATACTGGAAAACCTGGATTATGGAAATAAAGGGAAAATGCTCAGTAGCACAAGAGTGTTCCACCAGAGGCAAAATTAGCCATTTACCATACTCTACAACACCAGTCTGTTTTGTGTAATTTCCCTCAAGAATCTTTCTGTGACTAGTTTATTGTTTTGCATAAGAACTAAGCTTCCCAGCTCTAAATTGTTAAGCCAGAGGTACTGTGAAGAGGGAAGGGCCAGGATGGGAGCTGAGCAAGCCACAGGCTGGACTCACGTAGTTCACATTTTGTAGAACTGGCCTTTGGAGTCGCTTCCCAAACTACCTCATCAAACCTCTCTGAACCTCTCTGCCTTGCCTCCTGCTTCATACTCCCACCATTCAACAGATTAGTAGTACTGTGTTTGGTGAGCAGCATCTTCCCCTGGCCATTCCCACCAGTGCTCAGATTCAGGAATTCCTGCAAATTTAGGATGAAGGCTGTGAGAAGTCCTGTCATTACTCTGTCCTCACCCCATGACTCGAACATGCACAGTGGATCAGCTGAGGAGAGTTAAAAAGCTTTGTTCCTACTGAGAAAAAAAGAGAGAAGATACTCCTGGTGCATAGAACACTAGAAGTGTTTGCAATCAGTGTGAAATCAGTGTAGAATCAAGAGAGAATTCCATTTACCCAGGCTAATATTAGCCACTACAGAGAAGTCTGATCACTGATGTCAAACTAAAGGGAGCTGGATTTGCTGGAGTTGCAACAGTGAAAAACTATGGCTTTCTTTAGGAACAAAGGTAAAACAGAGCCTGACAACTAGCTGACACAGATTTAAACCTCTAAGTATCTTGAGACTCATTTTATTTGTTTTATTAGGGAAAAAGAAATAATGACCTTCAAAAAGGCAGAGAAATCCAGTTACATAATATAGCAATTAGTAATAGTCAGTAATGCAGTAATTAGTAATAGAGCATGTTAGAGCAACAAGAAATAAAGTTGGGATAAAAGAGGTAAAAGAGCAGATAAAAACTGTTTGTTTTTTTTTTGCTGAACAAGCTTATTTAGCCAAATGTAACAAAGAGTACATTAAATACAGAATAATAGAGAACATCAAAGAGGATTTCCTAACTCGACCTTTAATGATTCATATTGATGATAAGGCTGAAACTTTCTGCATCATCAGATGTATATAAAGCTGCAGTTCCTAATAATCAATAATCACGATTTAAGTTTTAGTTACAAGCATAATTCTCTGTGTTTGGTGTAGGAGAATAGTACTATAAGGCATGTTAGCATTCTACATTGTGATCTTCTAGCCTGATAACAAGACCAAGACAAATTAAGCTGTGAAAAAGGAGAGTCGAGCATGTTTTTAGCTCTTTGTAGTAGTGTAGATGCAGCATGCAGACACAGAACAGCTGCAGCTCTTCAGAATGAGACACTTTGATTCAGCAATGAATCAAGTACAACCTTATGGGATTTCTGTGTGACAGAATGTGAAAAAGGTAAGATCTGGAGGTGGAAGAGGCTGAATTTGAATGGCTCAGAAGCAGATCTCAACTGTAAGGTCTCACAAAGTGCCAAAGATGCTGCCAAGAGCTGCCTTTTCCCTCTGCAACCTGCAGTAAGTAGTTGTGCCATAGGTACAGCTACGTGTGAAATCCTCTAACCTGTGCTGTTGACTGAAAGATTTCATTTAATGGTGTTTTGGGAATCCCTTTGTCTCCTCCTTAAAAATCCAAGCAGAGCAGTACACAGAGCAGCAAAGAGTGCTAGCAGAAGCACTCACCACCTTTCTTCTTGAAACCCTTGTGGAGAAGGGAATTAAACAAACATTCAACTAAAGGGATGTTGGGAACTTTGATATTTTGCTGCATACAAGCTGTATTAGATTTATATGGATTTTATATTGACACCTGGTTTAGAGTTCTTGGAGGATAATGAGATGCCTGGTAATAATTTGATAATTTATAATAATTATTAAAATACCTCTTTGATCTATAATTGATTCTTACAACTGATGCTGTTAAGGAAATTAGTTAGAAATATTCAAAATATTCAAAATACTAAATGGAGGCTATTTAGATATCCATATGCCCTCAAAACAGTTCATAAG